GCGGAGAGGCTAGAAGCGTGAACGACTGGAGGATGCCCTCCCCACGTCAAAAGTCCCGCAACAGGTCGGAGGAAAACTCACCACCTCTGTCAGAGTGCAGACGCAGGATAGGAAGGTCCATGTCGAACCGCTCGCAGAGCTGGAGACAGACTGCGTAGATTCAAGGGATCAAGACATCAGGGACCTCCTCCTTGCTGCGCAAGGGGAAGACCGTGGTGTAACGCGTGTAGTCGTCAACAACCAGCAGAAAGTATCGCTCGCGGCCCTGTCCCTGGACGCGGGCTGGGTCCCACACGTCCATGTGGAGAGTCTGTAGGGGAGCAGTCGTTGAGGGAAATGAGGAGGAGTGAGGAGCGGCGCGCTGCAGCTCCACGACATAGGGAAGGCAGGGAGGGGCAGGCGAGGGTGGGAGGGGAGGCAGGGACCTAAGAAGATCAGAGACAAGGAGGCGGGAGTGCATGCTACGGAGGTGTGGCAGGGAGGGGTGACCAAGGCGGTGGTGCCAGAGAAGAGTCTGGTGCAACAGGAGGCGACACAAAATGGGGGCTGCTAGCTGACCTGACGCGGACGCATGAGCAGCTACCTAAGGAGGCTCAGTAATCAGTGTGTACAGGCTCGACCCAGGCCGACGGATGAACGTGGCCAGGTGACGGCGCGTCTATGCTCACGTGCAGATCGCCACACGCTGTCCTCCAGGGATAAAGGTACCAACCCAAGCATCCTGAAGGACGGCGTTACTCACCAAGATCGTAGAGAATGATTGGAGATGAAGACCTCACAGTGAGCCAGACGGTACCGACGGACACGAGAGAACAGTGGAGGAACGTGCAGGAACCGGTCCCCCAGAGGGGTCAGCTAGAGAGACTGCAACCAGTGCAGGGAGTGGTGTGACTGTGGTGCTGTCGCGAAAGAAGCAGCGGGAAGCACCTGATTCAAGCATGAAGGTATGCAAGGCCTTAGCAGGCGCAGTACCAAAGAGAGCAGACTCACCAACACCTAGAGCAGCAGACTCACCAACACCTAGAGCAGCAGCCTCTATACTAGAGTCGGGTGGCACACACAGGTAACAGTCACCCTCAGTACCAGTAGTCAAAGCATACATGGCAGTGAGGATGGCGTCATAGTCTACAGCAAAGATATCTACACCCTGCCAAAGCAGCTCTAGCCAGCGAGGGTGCTCAGCCGCATCGCCAAACTCTGCGCGCTAGGGGTTGCTCAGACGGGAGAAGCAACGGTACTGTGTGTGACCAACTGTCCTGCAAGCTTGATCAGCCCGATCACCTGTGCGAATGACGTACGGGCGGCGAGCACTACTCCAAGACGCCCCACGCTGAGCGTACCACTCACAAAGCTGCTGGGGCGTAAGGGTCTCACGTGGACGCCGCTGCAGCTGCACCAGGCCACTGCCAGAAGCTCCCGGCTGAACACCTGCACAGCGACTGCCACTACTGCCGCCGCCACCACTCCTACTAGCCTACCACTCACGTAGCTACTGGGGCGAAAGGGTCTCGCGGGGACGCCGCTGCAGCTGCATTTGGACACCGCCAGAAACTCCCCACCGAACAGCTCCACAGTGACTGCTACTACGGCCGCCACCACTCCCACTGCTGCCACCACCGCCGTCACCACTCCCACCGCTACTACGAAGAGAAGTCATAGCGGGCAAGCAAGGAGGCGCGCGACCGTAGGGCAGCACGGAGGGAAGGCAGGGCGGCGAGCAGGCACTAGGGTAGGTCGGGGCGACGCACGGTCAGGGAAGGACGGCGCACGGCCAGAGCAGAGGCGGCGTGTGGAAAGGCAGGATGGCGCGCGAGGCTGCAAAGGGGCAGCGTGCGGGCTGCTAGGGCAGCGCGCGGGCTGCAGGGTGGCGTACGGATTGCAAACGGGCGGCTCGCGGACAGGTAGGGCAGGGTGCGGGCTGCAAAGGGCAGCGCGTGGGCAGGCACGGGTGGCACGCGGCCAAGAGGGCGGCGCGCGGGGCTGCAAGGGGGGGGGGGGGAGGAGGGGGACGCGCGGGCTGCAAGGGCGGCGTGTAGGCTGTAGAGGGTAGTGCGCTGCCAGCAGAGCAGCGTGCGGGCTGCAGATGGGCGGTGCATGGGCTGCAAGGGGCAGTGCACGGTGGCGTGCGCGGGGTGGTGCGACGCGGGGCAGGCAGGGGTGGCGCGAAGGCAGGTAGGGGCGGCGCATGGGCAGGCAGGGCGGACGTGCGATGCGACGGGCTGGGGCAGCCCGCACGGGCGACACGACGGACAGGGGCAGGGCGGACGTGCGATGCGACGGGCTGGGGCAGCCCGCACGGGCGACGCAATGGGCAGTAGGGGCGGACGGGCGGCGCAACGCGGGGCAGGGCAAGGCATGCGCGGGGCAGCGCCACGCGGGGCAGGGCAGGGCGTGTGCGGGGCAGCGCAACGCAGGGCAGGGCAGGGCAGGGCATGCGCGGGGCAGCGCGACGCGGGGCAGGGCAGGGCGTGCGCGGGGCAGCGCGACGTGGGGCAGGGCAGGGCGTGTGCGGGGCAGGGCGTGAGCGGGGCAGCGCAACGCGGGGCAGGGCGTGCATGGGCAGCTTGACGCAAGGAAGGGCAGGGCGCGCGCTGACGGCGCAGCACAGGGCAGGGCGTGGGGTAGCTCGGTAATCGCAGTTGGTCACTAGCTAATGGTGGGCCCGAAAAAAGAAATCAGTCTCAAAGACCTACTGCTCTGAAACCATGTTAGAAACCAATGAGCAGGAATGAATGCATTGAGCAGAAAGTTGATACAAGTATGACCCTAATCGGGTTGTACCCTATATAGGCTACCCCACTACAGCCTACACAGCACAAACAGCATGATAGTTTGACATATCATGGTACAAAGAGTAAATGTGTTACTTAGCGTTACGACTTGTACTAAGAGTAAGCCTGAAATTTACAAATATGAGTGTTATTGAGAGTAAGTGCGCTACTTACTACAAGTAAGTGCGCTACTTAAGAACAAGTGGAACTAGGAGTAAGTACGTTGCTTTGCCTTTTGAGTCGTAATGAGAGTAAGTGCTTTACGAGCCCATACTTGTGGTACTAAGAATACATACTCAGCCATACGACTGGCACTAGGAGTAAGTGCGTTAATTAGCCATACAATTGGTGCTAAGAGTAAGTGCGTTACTTAGCCATAAGAATGATACCAAAAATAGGTGCTTACTTAGCTATATGAATGATACCAAATATGTTACTTAGCCTTATGAGTGGTAAAGAGTATGTCTTCAATTTATATATATGAGTGGTACAAAGAATACGTGCGTTACTCAGCCAAACGACTAGTACTAAGAGCAAATGCGTTACTAACTCATATGAGTGGCACTAAGAGTAAGTGCGCTACTTAACCCTTTGGGTCATACGAGTAAGTGCGCTACTTAGCCTTACGACTAATGCTAAGAATAAGTTTGCTTCTTAGCCTTATGAGTTGTACTTAAAGTAAGTTCGTTACTTAGCTTTGCGGAGATACCTACTACAATGGGAGCTCGACTATGGCGAAGGCTCGGGTGTGGAAGTGATCGTAGTGTTCCTTGCGTGCTGGATTGTGCTCACTCTACGCTCACATTCACGAAGGAATTTGGCAAGAGTTTCATAGCAAAACTTCACAACAATGGTTACAACAAAGTTGGCAATCAAGTCTAAAATCAGATGCTAGCAAGCATGCAGGTCGATCTCCAGCATGGTGGACCACGTTCCAGCACAACAAGATGAACCGCGCTCTAGCAGTGCAAAGTGGCGGTCTGCCAACACTACAGGTTGACGACGTGCCAAGGCTACAGCAAGGCGGTTGCACAGCGTTGCACCCGCATGACAGCAGCGCACCCGCTCCGCAGAATCTCGTAGCTGGTTGGCATGCTGTGCCCCTTCATCTGCACAGCGCGGAGGCCAAGTCGTCCACGTGCTGTTTGTCAGGCATATATGCTATAGTCTGTGTAGGCTGTACTGGGGCAATTCATATGGGGAACAACACTTTAGGGTTTACTACTTGTACTCCTCATTCTGCTCAATACACTCATTCCTCGTTTCTTATCATGGTATCGAGCAGGTTCCCTAGTGGGAACGATTCCTAGGGCCCACCACGATATATTTTTTTTCCTGCCCGGAGCGCGCTTCGCTCCTGCCCGGGTCGTGCTCTGTGTGCCCTCCCTACCGTCGCGCCCTCTCACGGCCCCTTCGCGTCGCCTTTAGCGGCCCCTCTCACGACCCATTACGCCGCCCTTACGACCCCTCGCGCTGCCCTTTACGGCCCCTCGCGCCGCCCTCTACGGCCCCTCGCGGCGCCCTTAAGGCCCCTTACGGCCCCGTCGCCGCCCCGTCTGGGCCCCTTACGGCCCCGTAACGGCCCCGTCTAGGCCCCTTGCGGCCCCTCTGCGGCCCCGTCTAGGCCCCTTTATGGCCCCTCTGCGGCCTCGCTAGGCCCCGTGCAGCCCCTCTACGGCCCCGTCTAGGCCCCTTGCGGCCCCTTTGCAGCCCCGTTGCGGACCCTTGCGGCCCCTCTGCGGCCCCGTCGCCGCCACCTGCGGCCCCATCGCCGTCACGTGCGGCCCCGTCGCCGTCACCTGCGGCCACCCCGCCGCCACCTGCGGCCCCGTCGCCACCACCTGCGGCCCCGTCGCCGCCAAGTGCGGCCACGCACCCGCCACCTGCGACCTCACCGCCACCTGCGGCCCTGTCCCTGTCACCTACGGCCCCGTTGCCCTCCCCTAGCAGCCACGTCGCCGCCTCTACTGGCCTTGTCACCGCTCAGCCGCCCAGCGACCGAGCCACCGCGCAGCCCAGCAACCGAGCCGCCCAGCAGCCGAGCCACCCAGAAGCTGAGCCGCCCAGCAGCCGAGCCGCCCAGCAGCCGAGCCACCGAGCAGCCGAGCCGCCCACCAGCCGAGCCGCCGAGCCGCCCAGCAGCCGAGCCGCCCAGCTGCCGAGCCGCCCTACTGTCGAACCCTTGCTGTTCCTACTGGTGAGCTCACTCCCTACTTGGCCACTGCAGTCATGGCTACCCCCAGTGTCCTTACTTTTGATGCTAAGGGCCGTGCCGTTGACTTTGAGGTCTGGGTCGATGACCTCCAGCTGTTCCTCCAGTGCGATAGGGCAGACGGCCTCTCTCTGTTCGACCTCACCTCTCGTGCCTCCCCTGCCCCGCCTGCTACTGCTGACAGCACTGTTCGCTCATAGTGGGCGACACGCGATCCTGCTGCCCGTCTTGCTGTGCGTCGCCACTTACCGACCACTGAGCGTGCACACTTTAGCCAGTACAAGAGTGCTCAGACCTTGTACGATGCTAAAGTTGCACGCTAATCTTCCCTTGCCACTGCTGCATTAAGCTACCTCATGCTACCGTACCTCTTCCTTGACCTTGCTACCTTTCCCACAGTCGCTGACCTCATTACGCTCCTCCGCACTAGTGACACTCGCTACCGTGCTGCGCTTCCAGCTGAGTTCCGCGCCAAGAACCCCCCCCCCCCCCCCCCCCCCCCCCCCAGGTACATCACCCTCTACTACATAGTCACCCGGCTCCCTGACTCTCTCCGCGTAGTCGGGGACCATTTCCTCTCATTTTGCCCCACGACTCTCATCGTTGACCTCCTCGAGAAGGGCCTCCTAGCAGTAGAGAAGAGCATAGTCGTGTAGGAGCCTCTCGTGGTGACCCTCGCACCCCCGTCTTTGAGGGGTGTTCCCCCTCCCCCCTCTTGCCCTCTGTTGCTTCTGCTGCTGCGGTCGACCTCGTTGGTTTCGAGTCGGTCGGCGCTACGTCTGCCCCGAGCGGGGGACGCCGCACCGGCAAGGGCAAGGGGGGCAAGGGAACTGAAGGGGCTGGAGGGGGCGGTGGAGGTGGTGGTGGAGGCAGTGGAGGGGTTGGGGGTGGTGGTGGGAGTGGTAGCGGGGGTGGCGGCGGCGGCAGCAGCAGTGGAGGCGGAGGAGGCGGCGGTGGTGGCGGAGGGAGCGGAGGCGGAGGAGGTGGCGAAGGAGGCGGAGGTGGAGGCGGCGGAGGCGGCGGCGGCGGCGGTGGTGGAGCGGGTCGCGGCTCTGCACAAAGGAGTGGGTAAGGTGGTGGTCCGCACCAGCAGCAGCGGAGTGGTGTGACCATGTCCCCTCAGCAGCTTTGTGAGTGGTACGCTGCGCGTCAGCGCGGTGGGGGTACTGGTCCCTGCACTTACGTCCTCCGTACCGGCGAACGAGCTGGTGAGCAATGCGGGGGCCCGCACTCCACCCAGCGCTGCTTCAGTCGCGTGACGGACGCGTGGCATCGCCAGTTCCCTGATGCGTCAGAGATCCCTCGCTGGGGAGATCTGTCTAGGGCGGGAGTTGCCATCTTTGATCTTGACTATGATGCTATCCTTGCTGCCATGTTTTCTGTGTCTACTAGTGTTGAGGGTGACTGTTACCTGTGTGTACCGCCTGACCCGGGCATTGAGGCCAAAGCTCTAGGTGCTAGTGAGGCTGCTACTCTAGGTGCTAGTGCATCTGCTGCTCCAGGTGCTAGTGTGTCTGCTGCCCCAGGTGCTGGTGAGTCTGCTCTCTCAGATACTACGTCGGCTCAGGCCTTACACACCTTCACCCTTGACTCGTGTGCGTCCCGCTCCTACTTTCGAGACCGCACCACTCTTACGCCGCTTAGTCGGCCGGTTGCGGTCTCCCTGGCGGACCCCTCAGGGGGTCCTGTCCTTGCTAGCTTCTCCATTGTCTTACCGTGCCCGGCAGCCCTCTCTTGCACCCTGTCAGGTCTCTACCTCCCCTCGTTCTCTACGAACTTGGTGAGTGGAGCGGACCTACAGGATAGGGGGGTTGACCAGTTCACTCCTGCGAGTCAGCGGGTGACCCACTGCACGTGTGCTCGGACAGGCCGACACTTGGCCATGTTCACCCGTTTGCGAGTGTCTGACGAGAAGTGAGAATGGATGAGTGAACTATGAAACATTTGGGTACAAGTACCAACCCTAATTGGGTTATACCCCATATGGGCTACCGCACTACAGCCTACACAAATGTATAAGCTATAATGTTCTGACACACCCCCATAGGCAAAGTGGGGGAGAACAAGTGGTCACAAGACCAGTCAAGCAAAGCAAAGCAAAGCAAGCTCAGGGTGGATCACAAAGTCACCATACAGTCCGAGCACAAGAGTAGGGCCACAAGGCCAGTTAACATGAAAGAACATATATGTAAAGGTAAAACAAGCAAGGGCAGGTATAGAAAGAATACAGTACAAACAAGATCAAGAAGGAAGCAAGTGAGGCCAGGTAGGCACAAGACCTAGCACAGTACAGAAACGCTGATAATCACAAGGCAGAAGGGCCTTGGTGAAGATATCAACAGTGTTGGCCTCAGAGGCCACGTAGGTGAGGCGGAGCTGACCACGCTGCTGCAGCTCACAAGACAGGAAGTAGCGGAGAGCAATGTGCTTCGTTTTGTGCTCAAGTCCGTGCTCCCGACACAAGGCCAGCATGGCCTTGTTGTCTACATACAAAACTGGAGAAGAATGAGGCGGCTCTCCTAGGTCAGTCAACAGGTAGGTGAGCGAGCGTAGCTTTTGTGCAGCCATGGCCCCTGCGTAGATCTCAGCCTCACAACTGGAGCCAAAAACAGAGGACGAGCGGGTAGACCGCCACGAAACAGAGCCGGAGCCAAGGCTGAAGGTGTAACCTTGTGACGACCGCTGAGTAGCCAGGTCATCAGCCCAAGAGGCGTCAGCGTGACCTGTGAGGACCACTGGACGTCGCCCTCCAAGCACTAGCCCCATGCCCGACATACTGCACACGTAGCGCAACACCCTCTTCGATGCCGCCATGTGCTCTGGTCTGTGTCTCCCAGGAGCAACATAGCGTGCCAAGATGCTAAGAGGGTATGCAAGGTCAGGTCGTGTGCAGGTCATTAGGTACATGAGGCAGCCAACAAGCTCTGGGTACGGGCCACTCGGCTCTACGGACTCATCCGAAGGCAGAGCTGAGAGCGAGTGGCGAGTAGACAAAGGAGTGGCCTGAGGCAAGGAGTACGTGAAGTCGAAGCGCTGAAGGACGTGCTGCACCATGTGTGACTGAGTCAGGGTAATGGTGCGCTGTGCTCTATCCCGGGTGATCTGCAAGCCAAGGTAGCTACGCAGTTCACCCAGGTCTGTGCACGTGTGTCTCTTCTGGAGCTCGGACTTCTCGTGGGCGAGTCCAGCAGTGTAAGAAGTGGCAAAGACCAAGTTGTCGACGTACACGAGGATGTAGAACGGCGGCAAAGAGGTGCCGGTGCGTAGAAACAGCGACGGGTGGGCTGTAGAAGGAGCAAACCAAAGAGCCGCAAGTGTAGTCCTTAGTGTGTCGTGCCACTCACGGGGCGCCTGGCGGAGACCGTAGACTGGCCGCCGGAGGCTCCACTGGGTACCAGGAGGAAACGACCCAGTGATGCCAGGAGGGCGGCGCAACCAGATCTCCTCGTGCACGCTGCCCTGCAGGAAAGCTGTGCTGAAGTCAAGAGAGTGGAGCTCGTAGTCGCGCTGAGCGGCTATGTGTAGCAGCACCCGAAAGTGGTCATCTTCGGGGTGGGAGAGAAGGTCTGAAAGTAGTCAACTCCCTGCCGCTGACTGAAGCCTCGAGCCACGTAACGTGCCTTGAAGACAGGTGGAGAGCCCGGCGGCCGCTTCACCCTGAAAATCCACATGCGACTGACGATGTTCGCCCCAGGTGGGGGAACCTCGTCGACGTAGGTGCATGTGGACTTCCAGGAAGCCATCTCTGCGTCCATGGGTGACTGCCACTGAGAGGAGTAGGGACCCTCAATCGCCTCAGCGTACGATCGAGGAGTCGGGATGTCTGGTGCATCCGGGTCTCCCTCAGGGGCAATCAGCGTGGACATGAGATGGGGCAAAGCAGCCACAAAGCACTGGAACTCCTCCTGCGTGTCCTCAAGGACGTCCGTGCTAAGAGCACACTCACCCCCGACTGACGGAGGACAAATAGACTCAAACTCCGCAACAAGACTAGCAGCGTAGTCTAGACGACAGCGAGCAGCCAAGTCAAGAAGCTCAGCAACAAGAGCAGACGCAGCAGTGGACTCAAAGGTAGGGTCAGTGAAAACAGTAGCAAGAAGGCGTGTGACCGAAGGACTAGCAGCACGAAGGGAGTTAGACTCCGGGTCAGCAAGAGAAGGAAGAGAGGACTCTGGAGGAGACGGCAAAGGGACACACAGAGGAGCAGTGGACAGACGTAGTGCCATCTGGTGTGTGCCGGGGACCGCAAGAGTACGCGGACGCGCAGTACTACGACCAGTGCGAGCAGCACAAACAGGCGACGCAGGACGAGACGCAGGCTCACGACGCTCAGCAAGACCTCCAGTAGGACCAGTATAGGGAGAAGGAGCAGGTAGCGGGGAGGCGGGTTGTAATTGTGACTGCGACTGGACAGGCTGTGGCACACTAAGGGAGGAGCAAGACCAGAAGAAGGAGGGAGACCAAGAACCTGCTCCGGGAGCGGAGCGAAGTATGGCCTCGGCCGCGCAGCGCCTCCAGAACCAGCAAGGACGGCACCAGCACCAAGGGAGGAGCAGGACTAGTAGAGGGCGGGAGACCAAGAACCTGCTCAAGGAGCGGAACGAAGTACGGCCGCGGCCGCGCAGCGCCTAAAAAACTAGCAGGGACAGCACCAGTACCCCCAGCGGCAGCACCAGCGCCAGCAGAACCTCCAGCTCCAACAGCGCCAACTCCAATACCCTCAGAAGCACCAGCACCAGCAGCACCGCCAGTGCCAACATCCTCAGCAGCTCCAGCTCCAGCGGCACCTAGTCCAGCAGGACCGTCAGTACCAGCTGCCTCAGCAGCACCCCCAGACGCACCAGCACCTGTAGAAACACCAGGGCCAACACCCCCAGCAGCTCCAGCTCCAGCAGCACCAACTCCAGCAGGACCGTCAACACCAGATGCCTCAACAGCACCCCATGAGGCACCAGCACCAGGAGAAACACCTGTGCCAACACCCCGAGCAGCACCACCACCAACAGCACCAGCACGGACAGCAGCTCCAGTAGCACCCCCAAACTCACCAGCATGTCTCCAGCGGCGGGCGAACCACTCCCGCAACGGCTCCCGCCACCGCCGGCGGCCACACAAGAAGACCCAGCACCCCCAGGCTCCGCACCCCCAGGCTCAGCACCCCCAGACTCAGCACCCCCAGGCTCAACACCCCTAGACTCAGCACCCCCAGACACAGTACCCGCAGACCCGGCACCCGCAGGCTCAGCACCTCTAGCAGCATCAGAGTCAACAGCTACCTCGAAAGACTCGACTGCGTCTACCTGGGACACACTTGAAGGGGCTGGAACCTGAGGGGGGAGGGGGTCTACCTGGGTAGCACCTGGCGCAAGGAAGAGCGGCGGCGGGGGGAGGGGCGCAGTGTGGTAGGGGAAGAGACGGAAGTAAGGAACCGACTCCTCAAAGGTGACGTCGTCGGAGGACAGAACACAACGCGTGGTGGGGTGGTAAAACCGCCAGCCAGGCGCGTCAAGGGGGAAGCCGAGGAAACTCGGAGGAGTGAGGGGCGGCTCGCTGTCGCCCCTCAATGTAGAGGACGCTTGTAGGGCCAGGCCCCGGAGGAAGGGGAGGGAGAGACCAAGGAAGACCAGAGACTAGGACACGGGAGGCCATGCCTCGCAGACGAGGCAAGGAGGGGTGACCAAGGCGGTGGTGCCAAAGGAGAGTCTGGTTGGACAGCAGACGACACGAGCAGGGGGCAGACTCAGGACTAGACCGGGACGCCGCAGCTGTTTTAGTCACAATAGCCTCCAATGTGCCTAAAACGAAAGATAGAGTGCACAGCCGGATTTCTGCACAGCGGCTTCAAACGTTCATAGCGTTCTGGTCACAACTTCAAATAACCTGATTTAACTTGGATCTGGAGCGTCTAAACGTCGCCTACAATAGGCAATTTAGATCGCACAATGTCACCAAGTATTGACGACACAGTGTTGGTTTGAACGAACGGCACTATGGCAGCCACTATAGTCTTAGAACACAAAATAGGAAGAGATATGAAGAGTTACGAGTTGGGAATGACTCCCAGCTCCTACAAACCCCAAGAGCCGAGGTACAGTGATGTGGAACAGTGCCACACTGTCCCCAACCACGAAGGGTCTCGAAACTACCCTTCACTAGGGCCTACACCAAGTGAAATGTTACACTACACAAAGTAATGTAACTATCTTCAATATCTTGAGGTGTACCCTTTTGGCGAGCTTCGAAATCACTTGAGGCTTGACACCAAGGCTCGGCCTCTTCATCACAAACTCATCCTTGAGTTCTTGATGGGTCTGCTGCACACACCTGCGATACACCGAACGTTCGACACAGGACAAAATAGAAACCGTGCACGACAAAAATAGAAACCGCGCGCGAGACACAAACGACCGCGTAACACGCGTCTAGCGATAACTCACTATTGACTCGACACACACACTCGACATCATGACTCGACATTCACACACAATTATAAGCATGAAATATATATTATCCCATGCCCTCATACCATTCCATACACACACACATGCACGCACACGGACAACAAGCCGAGTGCAAACCGTAGGGTTGCACCAACAAACTCCCCCTCGGATTGTTGGACTTAGGATATGTTGCTCTCTCAGTTCAGAGCCATCCCAGCCAGCTTGCAACACTTCCAATGCTGCTGCTCCACCAGCCTCTTAGTCATCATGTTAGCCGGCTGCCCCGTGGTCTTCACGTACCGCAACTCAACTTCACCCGCGGTCACCATGCTCCTCGTCCAATGCCACTTCACCCTCATGTGCTTTGTGAGTCCATGCAATCCAGGGTTCTTAGCAAGAGCAATGGCACCCTGGCTGTCACAGTAGAGTGGGGTAGGTCCTTGCTGCTCCTCCCCCAATTCAGCCAACAAACGCCGCT